CATCAAGACTTTTGTCAAGTACTATAATAAAATTACTCCAGCATAAAATTTCAGCCTGATTAGCTTTTATTGATTTATGTTCCACATCACATGCTTTTTCATAGAAGTAGGCAATATTTTGGAAGATGCTCGATTTTTCCTGACCTGAAGACAGCAAAATTTCAGTTGTATATTCCGAAGATATGGAGTCATGAGCTTGGGTAAATGGGGATGTATCATCCTGGCTATTACCTGTAGTTATTTCCTGAATTAAGCCTTGTTCTTTCTTTTGCTCATAAGAAATAGTAGGTGCAATATTTTCTTTATGTATCATTTCTATGAATTCAAGGCTACTAGCCAAATTATCATCAACAATATCTTGTTGTGAAGATGTTATGGATGTTACAGGCTCTGTTGGAGATTCAAATAAATATTTAGACTCACCTTTCTGTAGCTGGGTTGAGCTGTGTATTGGTTCAGATGTAGAATCGGTAATAATAGATTTCTTATCTTTTGTAAAAGATGCATTTTGGTTATTAATAGTGACTAGAGTCTGCATTTGTTCTAATTTTGTAACTCTATCTTTCAGCTCAGTATTCTCAACGGTAAGTTTGATAGTATCTGTTTGATGTTTCTTTTTTAGTTCTTCAAATCGGATCTTGAGCACTGCATTTTCTTCTATAGCTTGTTTTAGTTCTGCATTTTTAGCTTCGATTTCTGCAAACTTCTTTCTAAGTTCAGTAATCTTAGCTAAGAGCTTGAAATTTAATTCTTTCAGTAAATCAATTGCGTTTAACATTATTTTATATAGAAATTAGATATATTCAAAAGCTAATTAGCAAAAAAATTTCGTTGACCTTGGGTTAGGCAAATTTCATTGACTGTAATCATAATATAATATATTATATATAACTACTGTGCCTCATAATGTAATACTATACGTGACCCCACAGGTCACAATGTCATATGACTACTGTGCCACATACTGCACCTTGTGTAATATAGTACATGACCTTGAGGTCACATTCTTTAAAAAAATATTAATATATAAAGTCAGTAACTGTTATCAAAATGGAATTGGAATCTGCAAAGCAAGACACTTCATGTCTTGAAAAGATGAATAAGATATTCACTTATTATTGTAGAGAAATAATACAGGCCATTGAGCTAGTCAAGTTTTTATCACACATTCGAATTGATAAACCTGACGTTAAGTGATCGCAGAAAAGCAGACCCGTGGGACCGTTAAATCAATAAAAGCTAATCAGGCTGAAATTTTATGCTGGAGTAATTTTATTATAGTACTTGACAAAAGTCTTGATG